CTAACAAAGTTCCTAGAGTCACCAATAAATCTTTCAGATATTATCGGCCTGCACGACTACTCATGCGGGCTAATAACATTCTCAAGATAAACTCGTCTGAGTGTAGTATCACATGACAACCATCATAGGTCTACACCTGGATAATCACTACACTACATTCTAAAAAGGGTTAGAGGGGTGAAGGGATACTAAGGTCATCAGCTTCACAGACTCCCAGGTCGGAAAAAGTAATGCCAATACGACTACTCGTAAGACATCACCAATCCCAAATGGGCCTCCACTAAGCATGGTTATATCATATGTTAATCATGTTAGGACTACTCTCAACAGTTAACTATTGATTATACCATAATTCTATCATAAGTGCACTCAAGTCTGGGTTAGGACTTATCTCACCACTCAAAGGTCATAACCCTGCATGCAGAAAAACCCAAACAATACAAATATATACAAATGTATAAGAATACAGATAAGAAAAAAACACAAATACAAACAAGATAGGCTCAATCCACTGAACATTTCTCCCTAGTGAATTCGCCATTTTCTGCCGCGGTGAGAATCGGATATCAAAGCTATAGGATTAACTTAGCTCACAATAATAAGACATCACCACCAAACTTTTATTTTATCCAAGGGAAGAGAGAAAAGATTGAACAAAAACCCTAAGTAAAATGCTAAGCAAAAAAACAAGGCATAAAGCTAAGCAAAAGAGAGATCAAAGATACGTGGGTTGGTTATACTAAGGGAAGGTACTAGCACCTTAAGCATCTGTAGTACTCTACAGGAACCTCTTGAAATATTTTTGTTTTGACTAAAATTATTTGCTAAAGGTAAAGATGGGCAAAGAAAACAAAAAAGGTGTAAAAATAAAAAGGTAGCTCGCTAGGATCTCACAATCCTATACCAACGTATCCTTAATAGAAAGTCAGAGAAATCGTAGTTCGGAGACTATGGGTGAAAAAGAAAAAAAGAGTGAAAAAAGAAAAGGTTGCTCGCCAAGGATCAGGGCCTTGTGCATACGTATTCCCAAGAGTAACTTGAGAAATCAGAGCGTCTGTAGTTCGTGGAACTACGAGTTACCATGTTCTAAGAACCAAAAACAAATAAGATAGGTAAAAAAACAAATGAGGGACATGCACAATAATGATAAGTCAACGTACAGTCCCTTCCCTTGGATTAAGTCAACAAGGATCAAAGAGAACAACATATACATGGAAGAACGTCATGTAAATAGCAAGCAAGAGTACACAGACACAGTAAAGCATCACGTATGGTCAGACAGATAAAATATCACATAATACACATAGAAAAACATCATGGTAATCAACAGTAAGTAAAATCAATAACAAACACGACAAAACATCGTGTAAAGCAACAAATAGTCATGGCAAAACATCGTGGTAAACTAACAGACATTCGCGGCAAAGCATCGTGAAATAAAACAAAGAGAATAAACAATCACGGAAAAACATCGTGACAAAATATCGTCAATTAATCAAGACAAAGCATCAAGGAAAAGCATGCCCAAAACAAGAAAGCAAAAGAATCGTGGAATCGAATAGCGCAACAAAGAAATTATTAATTAACTTAAATATAAATATTCAATAAAGGTTAACTAATAGTTTAGCTAATCCATATTAAATAAAATATTTAAATTAATTAACAATTATAAATGTATATTTTTACATTTTTTATATTATTTGATGAATAAATAATTAAACTAAATAAAAAAGGAAAATATTGAAATATAAAAGGTTAAAATGTATTTTTTTTTTGGTATATCCTAAATATCACAAATTAGAACTAAAAATAAAATTAAAACAATCAAAATAAAAAAGAACATTTAATAAAAAAGTTAAGAAAAAATGATAAATAAAATAATTTAAAATGTGAGCACTAATAACTTTAAAATAAATAAGATGGGCCTAAGACCCATCTAACTTAACATAAAAATCCTATAAAAAAATATTGAAATAAGAAAGGTAAAAAAAAATAAAATAACAAAAAATAAAAAGTCAACACATGTTATTTTTAAACAGAACAAAAGGTAGAATGTATACCTTCTTCTTCCTTGCTTCACATGTACGTAACCCTTCCGTCCAATTTTGTTTCAGATTGCAACTTCCTTTGTTCACACTCTCTTAGTCTCGCGTCTATGTTCGCGTTCTCTTGCTCGCTTCTTCTCCTTGCATTCCCGATGCGGTTACAAATATGAAGTTTGTTTTCGTAGGAGCCGTGGAGGTGTTTGACGGTGGCGGGTTTGTATTGTTGAAGGGTTGGAAGCAGTGGCTAACGCCGGAAATGAGCGACAACAGAGTGATGAAGAGCAAGGAAGGCGGAGGGAGTATCTGTATGATGAGTTGAGGAAAATATGATGGAAAGAAGGGTAATGAGCGGGCGAAGAGAAAGATTGAAGCCAAATCCTTGTGGATGAGAGTTTACTGTGTGCATGTTTTGTATGTCGTGTGTTGTATTAAAAATGAAAAGAGGGAAATGTGTTCATGCCTTGCCTTTTTCATGAAGAGGGAGTATATGATGTATGTGTATTATAGTAAAGAAGAGTGGGTCGTTCGTGAAGATGAAAGAATTTGAGGTGTGTTATTAAGATGAATGGTTTTGACAGGCGGAAGAGGAAAGAGTTGAAGAAAGGCAACGTGGTGTTTTAAGGTGTTTGAATGGTAGATGTATGGAGTATTTTGATGGTGATGATTTATGGCGAGAGTGAAGTGAAAAAAAAGTATTATGGGTGGTGTTGTGTTTTTTTTGTTTTTTCTGTAATAGCAGTAGAGGCATGTCATAACTTTTTCAATGGAAAGGTTGAGGGGTTCATGCGCAGGAAAAAGTGTGTCCAAGAAGGAAGCCTTTTTTGTTTTTGTTCGGTTCTCTTATTTTCAATTTAAAAAGAAAGTATGTGAAAAGTGTTGTGTTATTAAAGAAGAAGAAAGTAATCTTTCTTTTTTTATCATGAAGTGTGTCTGATATTGTGCGTGTAAGTTTTGTCCTTTCCCCTTTATTATATTGTTTTATTTTTTTATTTTTTAAAAATTAAAAGAGAAAGAGAGCATCTAGTAAAACGCAAATGGCGGATACAAGTAAGAAAGGATATCAAAAGTGTGTATGCGGAAAGTATGTGGTAGCTAGAAAAATAGTATGCAGTACTGACTTCATCAAAATTGAAAAAAAAAAAAACAAAATACTAAATCCTAAACTTAAATAATAAGTATTCCTATAAAAAGAGTAACTACAAAACTTTAAATATTAAAAAAAAATAAAAAAAATAAATGTAATACAATAATATAAACTATTTAAATAAAATTCTAAAAATGAAAATTTAATTAATTAAAATGATTATTAATTAAAACTTGAAATAAAAACAATAAAAAATGAATAGTTGGATTGGTATCAAAGTGCTAAAAAAATGAATACACCAAAGTGATTAGCAAAAAATATACAATTCAAAAAAATACAACATTTGGTCAAATTTTGAAATAAATTTTACCCACTAAAATTGCTTAAACTGTCCAAAAATGCGATCGAAAAATTAAAACGAAAATTCCAAATTAAACTACGTAAAACATAGATTAATATTACTGACGTCCTCTCTGTCAGGCACAAGCCTCAACAAGGCACACTAGTCGGACGGAGCATTATCTTGCACAGGGAGAGCTCACACGCTTTCCCCACGTCCTCCACGTGCCCCCACGCGTGGACACGTCATCAGCCAAATACCCACCTCCGAAAGAGTTGGTCAACCCACCTTGCGAAGATCACAAGATAGTTGATATAGGGCGAAGACCACATGCTGGTCTTCCTCTACGCCTCGTAAGCCCTGACAGTTACTTGTGTTGGGTTTGACAATCCGGCCCAATGCAATCTAACCGTTGACCCTGCGCTGGGGGCACATTATAAATACTTTCTTTTACTAGAGGGTCATGTATCTTATTCACTACACCTTTTCTCTGTACTTGTTCTTTCTAAACTCTGTTACTCACTTAAGTATCAGAGCATCTTGCAGGTACACCCCCTTTCTCCTCTACAACACCAATGAAGTCAACAACTTATGATGCGTGACAGATTACTGATTTGTTTCTGATCAAGTACAATTAACTATCATGTAATTTTTTTGACGTGTGGAGCAAATACATGACATATGATAAGTCTATCATGTTGGTATATGAGGTATTATCAAACACATAAAACGATAGAATAATACTATCATGTAATTTTTTTTAACCAGTGGAACAAATACGTGACATATGATAAATCTATCATGTTGGTATCTTTTTGTATCATATTTATGTTCTATTTTACGCAACAAACTCTTAAAATAAACGAGATTAAAAATTTAATTAAAAATACATTTTACTCATTCGTCCCAAAATAATGTAAAATTATTTGTTCTTTAGATTTGATCTTCCAATTATATTTTTAACTTATTCTCTCACTTTTTATTAATGATAATTAAAATACACTAATTTTCAATAAAAGTGATATTCTCTCTTTTTCTTTCATCAATTTTTTTTTTAATTCATGTGAAATTGTATAGGAGTATTATTATAAATTTATTTTGAAAAAATTTAGTAATCAAAAAACATTATTTCAATTTCTGGGTACTTATCAAATTAATATTAGTCAATTTAATTTAGTTATAAAAGTTATCAGGCAAATATTAATTTAATCAAAAATATTAATTTTGAATTAGATGACTACAAACTTGTTGTTTCATTGTGTGCCGGTGCCACGTGCCTGGTATATGGCCCCAGTTAACAAACCGAAGGTGAACCTTGTGTTCAGGTGAGATTGAGAATTTGAGATGTACATGTACCTACCCAGTTGAACTCAAGTTCAAAAGTTGAAACTAAGTTAAGTAAAAATTAGATCGATATAATTACCGGCACATTTCATTTCAACTTTTCTACCTTCTTTCTCTCTCTTTCTCTTTTCTTCTCCGTCGTAACCGTCTTCTACTCTCACTCTCTTCACCTTCGATTCCAATTCCCATGGCTTCCCCCCTCGGCGACAATTTCAACCTTCTCTCGCCTCAACAGGTTCTCCCCTTTCTCTCTAATAACCTTTAATGCTTCTGTTTCTGATTCTGATTCTGATTATTATGATAATTGTTCCGCGTTTCAGAGAGAGTTGGTGAACATGCTATTGGACAATGGACAAGGCCACCTGTTTCGCGATTGGCCTAGTCCCGGCGTCGATGACGACGAGAAGAAAGCGTTCTTCGATCAGGTTCGTTTTCAATTCCCTCCAATAGATAGATCCGCGCATTCCCTATATTATAGTATATATCTAAACGACACTGCGTTTTTGTTAGCTTGTTGTACTCGATTCGAGCTACCCTGGTGGCTTGGTAGCATATATCAATAACGCTAAACGACTCTTGGCTGATTCCAAAGCTGGAAATAATCCTTTCGATGGCTTCACACCTTCTGTAAGTCGCAATGATTGATTTATTTATTTCTCATATTCATATGCTACCTTGTTTGTTCCACTTTATTATATTTTCAACTTTGTGCATTTTAGTTATATTTATGAAGCAAGGACACCAGAAACACGACACCGACTCGATATCGATAATAATTTGAAAATTTGAATAAATTAAACTTAATCACAAATGTCACCGTCAGTTTTGGACTCCAACCTTGACATAGGCATACCTTTTTTCAGGTGTTGGTGCTACCGAGTATTTACATGTTATTGATTTTGAATTTAATGGTTTTGCAGGTTCCAACTGGTGAGACATTGAAATTTGGTGATGAGAACTTCAATAAATATGAGGAAGTAGGTGTGCGTGAAGCGCGGAAAGCTGCATTTGTTCTTGTTGCTGGCGGTCTTGGGGAGCGTCTAGGATACAATGGGATTAAGGTTTACCTTTGTTGATATCTTTTTGCTTCTATCATTCTATGTGATGATGATATCTTGTGTATAAAGGCTGTTGTTGTTTTGTCAAAATCAATCAACATCCATTATATATACGGTGGTTGGTGATCATTGTGAGCTTGTTTAAGCTAAATTATTGAGGGGGCCAACTTAATTAAATGCCAAGTACATTAGATTTTTTTTTTGGTGGGTCTAGATTAAATGAAGATTAAAATGAGGAATCTAATTCCCAAACACATTGACTACTTTGTCATTAAATTATCTGGAAAAGAAGTCACGTGTCTAGACAAGGATGGCAATGTGGTGTACCCTCTCATCTGCTACTAGGAGTACTCTTACTATGTCTTTGAGTCTCTTTCCTTTTGAATCGGAAGGTTTTATTCTCATATAATCAATTTTTCAAGAGAAATTTAATAACTTTTGGGGATCCCCCATCACAGCAAAGCTTTGCTGGTGCTTCCATGGATAACTTAATATTGATTTTAATGCAGCTTTGATCTGTTATAATATTGGGGTTGTTATTTTGCATTGAAAATTATGTGTTTTTTTCCTTATTTGCTCGGACGATTGTTTATTCAATTTCTTACGGTATTTATCATATTTCCATAATAGAGTCTTCTCCTTTCCCCCGCTCCCAAAACAATGTATTGTAAGGTACTGAGATATGCGTGTAAATGAAAGGACTAATGCTTTCTCATAGCTTTAGCTCTAGTTCCCGTACCTAATAAATGGTTTTTTTGTGCCGTGTGTTTGTGTGTGGACAATTCTTGATTGAGAAGGTATTAATTACTAACTGTTAACCATATCTTATGTTCTTCTTTTAGGTTGCTCTTCCAGCCGAAACAACTACAGGAACATGTTTCTTGCAACATTACATTGAATCCATATTGGCACTTCAAGAAGCAAGCTCAGAAGGTTAGTAATGAATTCCTTTTCAGTAGTCATATTTAACCATCTGATTTTGTTACTTACGCATGTAGTTAAACAGAAGACATTGAGAAATTTGTGTAGACGGATTGTTTAAATGATACCAAATTTCTTTGACGGAGGGTCTATTTGTTCTGATAGAAAATATTTTTTATGTAAGCTTTACTTTATGGAAAATAACTTGATTTTGGAAAGAAAAAAAATATCAGTAGAAAATAGCTCCCTGCAAAATATTTCTGGTGAAATGTTTTTTTCTTCATAAAAAGCATTTTTCGTCCTTGAGCTTTTTTAGAAAAAAATATGTATCATGTTAAAACATTCTTAAAACGACATGTGATATTTCCCTCCTAAAATGAATTGCAACAGTTTACTGTTACCGCAAAACTAGGAATTTGAGCAAATGCCTTTTAACTTCTATTAAAATGCTTTCCAAAAAGTATTTCCACACCCGAGAAAGAAAAACTACTTTTAGAGTTTATTTTTCTTCCTCTCTTTCAAACTATTAATATTTTTAAGTATTTTCTAGTTATGGGTGTGTTTTTCAACTTTCAGGTGAAGGCCAGACACAAATTCCTTTTGTTATTATGACCTCTGATGACACCCATGGGCGTACCTTAGAGCTATTAGAATCAAATTCTTACTTTGGCATGCAACCCACACAAGTAACACTCTTAAAGCAGGTAAGTATGTGTTTTAATGTTTCGTGGAAAGATGAATCTGGTTTTAAAAAAATATTAATTATTAAATTTGAACATGATTCAGGAAAAAGTGGCATGCTTAGACGATAATGATGCCAGGCTTGCATTGGATCCACAAAACAGATACAGAGTTCAGGTATTGTTGGATACAAGTATGATTGCACTATTTTAGCAAAAGAGCGAGAAAGATACTCTATATTAGCCTCATATATTGGATTTTCAAACTAAGTGCATTCTATTAACTGTGTCTCTTTGGGTAGACAAAACCACACGGGCATGGTGATGTGCATTCACTTCTTCATTCCAGCGGTATTCTGAAAGTATGGTATGACTCAAAACAGTTCATAGATCCTTAAGACCTATTTTTATGTCTTCCATTTCACTTTCTGATATTAAAGAAATTTGATAGAACTGTCCGATAGATATTTCCAAGTAATTTACGAATGATCTGAAAATATTTAGGAACAAAAAAAGTTGTTATGCAACACTATAAATATCAGCTGCTAATTTTATTAATTTATGGGATTGAAATCTAAAACTCCAATAAATAATTAGATCAAATTGCATTGTATATTGTCGATACGCATTTATCATAAATTTGATGTGTTAGGTATAATGCCGGATTGAAATGGGTTCTCTTTTTCCAAGATACAAATGGACTTCTGTTCAGGGTATGTTGCTTTAGCACATATCATACTTTCAAGTTTCAACAAATCCTCTCTGAAATTCCAATCGGTATAGTATTTATTTCCTAGTAATTTGTGGATACAGGCAATTCCATCAGCACTGGGTGTCAGTTCTACAAAACAGTACCATGTCAATTCTCTTGCAGTACCTCGGAAAGCAAAAGAAGCTATTGGTGGAATTACCAGGCTCACCCACTCTGATGGTAATAAATTCTCTACTAGTGCACATTTTAGAGTCACATTAATGTGGGTGAGAATAATAAATTTGCTTTTGGGGGAGTATGTTGCAAAGGACAGAACTTTTTTCTTACCTTTAAAGTGGTTTGAAGCTATAAGTTTTATGAATATGTTATTGTTTGTCATAATAAATTGGGAAATGATAAAGAATAATTCTTTGTGGAAGAAAAATGGTTTTAATCAGAGTTATTAATTCAGCGGCGGAGCGGAGCGAGCGGCCGACCCTAAAAATGGGATTGCGGGGTATTTTTTTGTTGACTTTTTAGAATTGATTATTTTTTGGACTAAATATATAAATAATCTATATAAATAAATTATTTTGGATGAACATTAAAAAGAATACTTAATTAGCAACACAAAAGTTTTATAAAAATCAAATTAATGAAATAAAAATGGATTAAAGACTTTATTATTTGTTCTGATATATGTTATTATTAACTTTATTATTAAATGTTATTATTTATATTAAATTTTATTAACATATTATAAACTAAGGGGCTATATGCCTTTTTTTTAATAATTAAGATACCCAAACATAAAAGAGAATTTCTTATCTCACCCTTTGGTCTTCTTAGACCCCATGCTCTTTGCCTAAAATATTCCCCTAATTTCGGAGATGTATCTCCGGACATACATTTTTTCAGTTTTTTTTAATTAATTTCGTAGATGCATCTACGGAGTATTTTCGTATGCGTATTTACGGAAGAAAACTAGAAACAAAATATTAAAAAATCAACATTCATAAAATGAAATCGGCGTTACATTGATAATTTCGACAGAAATTTAAATACTACATTTCAATAGTCCGGTGGACGCTTGCACATCTCTAAGATGTCATCGACCGTTCTTCGGACCGCTGCCTCCAACTCGAGCGGAATTTTCTCTTCGAAACCGAAATACGTTTGCCACATCGCCCTAACATCGTCTTAATTCTTGAGCTCAAACTTGCTGTAAACAACGTTCCCTTCGTTGTCAACTAAAGGTGAACATACTCAAGCTTCACAACCTTTCGTTTGTCATTGTAAGGTAGCCGATATTGAATCTCGTCTATGATATCGGCGAGGGGGGTGAGATCCATGAGCTTGAACGTCCTCCCGGGTGTTTTGCTGTCGGAAAAGGAGACACTTGCGACATATCAACGGATCTTGATTTCACACAATTGAGACATTTTTGTACTTGTGTGAAAGATAACAAATGAAACTCCAAATTTATAGAAAACCTAGGTGAATATGGACCAACCATTTTCTGTCAAACTTTTTTCCGGAGCTATATCCACGGAACGACCCTATAATTATTGGTTCCGGAGGTGTATCTCTGGAACTTTCCCTGAATTCAAAACCAATCAAAACAAGTGTCGCCGGTTAAATCTGTTGGTGGTATCCCTTTGGACTTTTCCGCATTCGATTCCTTTTCAATGTTGTTCAATCTTTCGAATTCGTGCATCTTTTCAACAAAACGATCCGGCCACGTTTCGGCGTTTGCGGTTGAATGAGTCGCCCATTCCGGTGATGTAGGTGGTATGGGGCATCCCGGTTTCAAATATAGCAGAAACTTCCGAAGCTGTATCTACGAAACAATCTAGCACTTAGACATTCCGGAGGTGCATCTACGAAAGTTTTCCTGAACTGAATTATTTTGAAGTTTTTCCAGCGTTTACCAGTTTAAAATTATTCCGTAGATGTAGCTTTAGAAAAAACTAAATTTTGGCAAAAAAAAAAAGATGCGTCCGGATATGTATCTCTGGAAACAGGAGCATAAAAGGAAATGTGCTAGGTGACTAAGAGTATCAAGGGGTGAATTAAGAAATTCTCAACATAAAATTACTCTACGGCCCATTTCAGACCCATTTCAGTTATGTACTCAGTCAAAAAAGCCTTTTTATTCTAACCCGGTCCATTTGGTTACACACTCAAATAGAACTCTAACCATTACCTTTCTTCTCCGCCGCATTTGCAAAACAACTTCGAGAACCAGAGAAACACAGCCGGAAAGAAAAAAAAAAGCGGATAAACCGCTCCTCCCAGGGTGCGAACTGCGACAGCATTTGTGGCGATATCGGCCGCGTTTTCAAACGGCACTCCACCCCCTCTTCTCGCACGGCTGGTGGCCGCTTCGGCCGGACCGCCCGGGATCGCGCTGTTCGCGGCCGCAATCAATAACTCTCGTTTTAATGATTAAACTCATATACTGATATTGATTATGCCGGGCAGATCAAGTAACCCACTGCATTTGAGTGTTATTATGCTAAGAATGCACGCCACCTAAAGTTTTACTATTTTTTTCTTTAAATGCAGCGGGTTACTTGATCTGCCCGACATCATTACCAGTGGATACATTTAATCATTAAAGCTATTCATAACGCAGAGGAAACCTTGTCTTGAAACCAAATGTAATACAAAGCTGATGAGGAAACCTTGTCTTGAAACCAAATGTAATACAAAGCTGATGAATGAGTAACTACTTTGATAGCTCAGGCATAATGCTGAAACAATTTTCACACTGATCTTTAAACTATTCGCTTAAACTAAACTAATACAATTGGTAACTGTAAATCTGTGACAGCTAAACAAGCTACTACCACTTTCTTTTCTTATTTGTTGAGGATTAAATGCTACCAAGTTCAAATAAATAGTTGCTAGCTATATGATGCATAGGTACGGGTACAGTCCCCATTTCGAGTACCGTTAGTGGTACGGGTACGTCTATAAAAAATAAGAATTTCTCAATAAAATGTATCTGTGGAGAACTTGATTGTTGAATTCATAATAAAACATCACGATAAAAAAAAATTGTGTAAGTTATTACAACAAATAAACTAAAATACATAAACTATTATGTTAATATATGAAAAATTAAAATTTTTACTTAAAACATAATAATGAGAAAAAATGAGGCATCACGAGTATCGTACGTGTATCCGGTACCAGTACTTCACATTTTAGAAGTACCCAAGTTTTGAGGTTGCTAGGATAGATCCTTTTCTTCGATAAAGTATTTGGTATGTGATCACAGTTTGAAATCCATGTTACTTTGATTGTATTTGTATTCATACATGCTTGGAGGTTTTATTCAAATTTATTAACATAATATATTTATATTAATAATAATATATCTTCTGTCTTCATTATGTCAATGACATTTTTTATGGATTTTCCTGAAATAATATGTTGAGCACATGATCATTAAAATGCCAGGAAGGTCTATGGTGATAAACGTGGAGTACAATCAGCTAGATCCTCTTCTGAGAGCAAGTGGATACCCTGATGGTGATGTCAACAGTGAGACTGGCTACTCCCCATTTCCCGGAAATATAAACCAGGTAATCATTTTTCATACTTATCTCATTGTTATGGTCCTTTCTACCAGCTGTGGAATTTGCCTTTTGATTTATCTATTGTTGGGCAGATTTGATAGTATGCTTATCTGCATTAATATCATGTCATGCGGTGTGAGCTCTCAGTTCATGAGGCATTATGTTTGGAAATTAGTATAGTAGAAATATCGGGCTTTAATTCTGATTGTTTTTATCCTTACTTATTTGAATTGCATCATGATTCATAATTATACCATGATTGCATAGTAACGATATCTTACTTTTTCTGCCAGTTGATTTTAGAACTTGGTCCTTACATCGAGGAGCTTGCAAAAACAGGAGGTGCCATACAGGAGTTCGTTAACCCAAAGTAATTCTTCTTTCGAATACTCACTATACTATATTATTATCACTTCAATGTAGCATGCTTCAATTTTCGATGATTACAGTCTATGCTTTATTGTTGCATTTGCTTTACCATTTTTCTTTCTCGTCTTTCTTTTTCTAAATAGATGGTCAGTGTTATTCTTTAGAGTATGAGCTATCTCAATAAGTTTGTAGTTGAACTAGCATTATTTTATGAGAAAGTTTTCATGAACAACTTGACGAAAAAATCTATACTGACTTAATCTTTCTTCTCTTCTTTCACTATTGTTTTTTTTTCTTTCTTGATACTGCAGGTATAAAGATGCCAGCAAGACTTCATTTAAATCCTCAACTCGACTTGAATGTATGATGCAAGACTATCCAAAAACACTGTCCCCATCCTCCAGGGTTGGGTTCACGGTAAGTTATCGATTTGAGAGCAGTGTATACAATTTAGCAAATCAAATCTTATTATCAAATTTGACTTTGCCATTGTTTGAGATTATATTTTCAGTTAAAGATGGAGTTAGTCCATTGCGTGATGTTACTTTTTGGGTGTTTGGTTGTTATGCTTGGTGCCTACCTGACTGGTCCTATGTAATTGTGTAGGTGATGGAAACATGGTTTGCTTATGCACCTGTGAAGAATAATGCTGAGGATGCTGCTAAGGTACTGCTTAAATTCTAATGCAAAAGTTCATACATGTAAAAACAAAAGAGTGTAAAAAGAAATAGTGGGAACGCTTGATTTCCTAGTTAAGTGTATGCAGTATAGAATTGAAGTATATTGGAAAGGTCTTGCCACAAGTTTGTGATAATGAGAAATTTGGATTCAAATTGAAACCTTAATTGAATAAAAGGTTTTTTGAGTAATGGCATCTTAGGTATAACTTAGTTTTTATTTCATTTTCACTTTTTAATCATAAAATTCTAATTTCCCCCCTTATCTTCAAAGTTTAATAAAAGAAATATTGAAAACAACTTTTAATTACTTTCAGTATTTTTTTTAGAGAACTTTGAAAATAGGAAATACACTTAAAAAAGTGACATTTTTGCAACTAATGGTGAAAACAAGAAATGAAATCAGATAATGGAAACAAAAGCCAAATAGGCCCTTAACTTGCTAAAAGGCTTTCAAGATGGATAATTTCTTGTACCTTTTTTTATAATCTGAAGGTGCCAAAAGGAAATCCATACCATAGTGCTACCTCTGGAGAAATGGCCATCTATCGAGCAAATAGCCTTATTCTCAAAAAGGTAATTTAGTGATTTTACTCTTCTATCATGTAAGTCTTGAATGTGAATGGAATGACACCCAGGTGTTAATTTTATTACTTAAATGTTTTATTTTCTTTTAACTATTTTATGTTCTTTCCATATAAATTAGTTTTGTAGATATTACTTATTTATTTTTTAGGTAATGTGAAAATATTTGTGATAGAATTTCAATATATGTTTTAAGTGCTTTGACTCCATCATACAAACTAACAGAGATAGAGAGAGATGTCAGCCATAAGATCTAAATTGAGCAGGTGAAATGTAGGAATAAAACCTACAATGTTGCATAGAGCAGCTTGATGCATGGTAAAAACTTAAAAGAAATTAAACTGAATGTCACAAAGATGAGTCTGTTAAGTTGAATGAGTGGTCTTACAAGACAAGATAGGAGTAAAAATAGAATTATTGGGGAGAAATTTGATACAGCCCCATTGTAGAGAGAATGCTATAATCTCGAATTAGGTGGAAGGGTAAATGATCTAGCATGTTACCAACCTTAAGAAGATGATTGATTGCTGCCTCTGTAGAGTTCAATACTGATTAGAATACTGTACAGATTAAGAAAGTTGTAGAAAATTGTTTAATGTCAAACAGTGGAGATCCAATATACCCAGTACCTACAAATGGGTCTGCAATAGTTATATTTAGAATGAAATACAATTGAATGTTATTTCAAGAATCTTCGTTGATTCCAGATTGTTATTGTGATTCCTGCAGTGTATCTATCCCATTCTCATATGTCTTTTTTGTGCTTTTTTCATGGCTACCTTGATGCCAATTGCTATAACCATAATAGACGTTTCAGTTTATTACAAATTCTCTGCTTTCTTTTTTTCCTTTTCTCCCAGGCTGGTTTCCAAGTAGCAGATCCAGTATTACAGGTTATCAATGGACAAGAGGTTGAAGTTTGGCCCCGTATCACATGGAAGCCAAAATGGGGTCTGACTTTTTCTTTAATCAAGAGCAAAGTCAGTGGAAATTGCTCCATTTCTCAGAAGTCCACACTAGCAATCAAGGGTCGAAAAATTTTCATTGAAAATCTTGCTGTAGACGGGGCTCTTATTGTAGATGCCGTTGATGATGCAGAGGTATGACAATACAATTCATTGGTATTTTACCATGTTGAGCGTTTCATTATTTTTTTTGTTAGTAGGAATCAAACTTTACAACATTCACACACACATTGTGCACCAACTACTTGCACTAGACTCCAGTGGTAGTTATATTTTAAATTTCAACACCAAAACATATATTAAGAACTTAAAAGTACATAGCAACTGTGGAACTTCGAATGAAGTACTAATTGAAGCTTGAAACTTATACTATTGACTTGAATGCACATGCTTGTGTTTGATTGAAGTTTTTAATTAACATGGAGGATTTTTTTTATACAAATTAAATAGGTTAATGTGAGTGGTTCAGTTCAGAACAAAGGTTGGGCTCTCGAACTAGTTGACTACAAAGATTCCTCAGAACCTGAGGTATTGAGAATCAGGGGTTTTAAATTTAACAAAGTTGAACAGGCGGAAGAGAAATACTCCAAGCCAGGCAAATTTCACTTCAAGGCTTGAAGTTGCATTTGTGCAAAGAATATAGAATTCTTTTGCTTCATCATCTATTCTTTATTCCCATGTAATGTGATGTCATAAATTAGGTTTGGGAAGAATTCCTTTTTAGTAATAAAAATTTGTTCTAAGTAGTGAGTGACATTAAAGTTTTGAAGAGTTTCTCGCATAATTTCACCATCCCACCCACCTAGGTTTCTCAGTGGAGTAACTGTATTATTATTATTTTGTTCATAAGATTTACTAGTACTCCACTTTGATCGGGGAAAGTTTTTGTTGCATTCATAGTGGAAATGATCTTGAGCCTTTTTATGCTGGTGTGCTTGAAATTTGAGCATCTTTGTCCCTCATATGTGTTGGATATTGGATTCTGACATTGAGTAATAATTAACCACAGTTTTAAAGTTAGTTCCTATCAGCTTTTTTTTTAAAAAAATAATTTTTATATTATTATGCTTTTTTGTTAAATTTTTTTAACAAACCTCAAATAAAAAATTTATTTAAATAATTTTTCATAAAATATTATTTTAAGTATTTCATTTTTTTTAATGATTTTTTTATATTAAAATTTCAAAACATTAATTTTAGGGACTTCAAATTCTAGCTTTAATTTTACAAAATTTGTTCACATAGTGATGAAGGTCTAAAGCAAAACACAAAGGAGGCTTGTTCCACGAGCAACTTTTTAGTTCGTTGGAAAACAAGTTCTAACCGGAAAAAGAAATCAAGAAAAAAGCAACCAACCAAAGACTTCAAAAACAAATTCTACAAACTCTTTTTGTCCTGTTTTAGATTATTTCATCTTCATACATTGCTTAAAGCGTGCAGATTGAAAATTACTCCGGTTGACATGAGAAAGATGACTTGACACGTGCTTCCTACGATAAAGGTATCTCTCATAAACACAAAGCTAGACGCGACAGACGCACTAAACACGCATTTGAATGCACTTTGTACTAGTTTATTCTTACAAATGATGACAAAAACTTCACGTTGCAATTATTCTCTCTGTTTCAAAATGACTATTGTTTAAAAATTTTGTACATATTAAAAAATACAATGATATTGTCATAAAATATTATATTTTTACTAAATTAGTTTTATTAATGTGTTGAAAATAATGTACATAGTAATAATTATATGACACAATTGAAAAAATAACAATTATTACTACATTGAAAACTGAGAACGACAATCATTTTAAAACAATTTTTTTTTCCTAAAATGACACATTTTGAAACGGAGGGAGTACAATAAAAAAAACCATGTTAGTGAAATGCCCATATTGCTCCTCTGTTGTAGTTGTAGAGAAAGTACGAGGCATTTGTGAATCTAGTTTTGCTGACATTTTATTGTAATTTTTTAATGAGATTAATTACTATATACTGACAGTGTAAAAAATTTTACGCTATCAATTCACCACTATCATCCGTTTGCATTGTTTTATAAATTGTTAAAATAAAAATTAAATTTTTTTTATCATTCAATATCTATAATTAACAGACCGTGTAAATCATTTTACACTGACAAGGGCATTTCAATTTTTTTTTAATTTATGTATAAAATCATAAATGATATTTATTCTTAAGAGCATCTTTAATGCAGATTTTTAATAGTTAAATTTTTTATAGCTAACGATGATTATAAAGAATTTGCATTGGAATGACTATGACATAGACATTTAATTCACTAACTTTTAGTTTCCGGCAATTATATAGCTAACGTATGCTATATAATTTGGGTCCACAAAAAATTTGCAATGAATATTTTATGTATTTTATTTAAAATAATTAAATTAATGGTAACTTCAATAAAAATAATAATTACAATTAAAAAATATAAAATATAAGGTCAAGTTTTAGTTTTTTATAAACAACTATCATTAAAGTAAAAACAACTCAAATCAATTATAAATTTTTTAAATCTTACAAATCACTTTGAGCCTATAAAAAATATCTTAGTTTACCCACTTAAGATACTCCCATTAAAAATACTCTAAAAGGAGAATTAACTATTGACAATTATTACAAAAATAGTTTGGAGAGAAGTCAAGCTATCAGAAGATATTTTATCAAAACAATTTATTTGAGTGAATTTAAAATATATATATAATTTATTGAAAATGTATAGACTATACAAATAATTGTTTATTTTATTGTCATTCAAATCATATATATTTCTCCGTACTGCACCATTTTATTATATTATTTTCAAAAATATTTTAATTAATATTAGAGTAAATAAACTTGTTTCGATGCGGAACGAGAAGTATAATGTAGAGAAATGAGTTTTATTGATACGATGGTGAGAACTTCAGACGCGACAAAGTTGGAGTTGACATGTGAAGTTAGTACTCTAACGTCCAAGTCAGTGAAGCGATCGAGAAAATGAGACTGGATTTGTACTCGAAATTGGCGTGTGTGCTACTTATATAAGGTTGGCGGTTAATAGAGCTTTCGTTTAATTTAGTGCGCTTTGCGGAGCATTGTTTGATGCCTCGCTGAAGTCTCACCCGCTTCTTGTTTGTATATTTGATGGGATCCCGACAAGCCGGTACATACATGTTCACCATAGACGCTGTGGTATTTTAATTTCAGATGTACCAGGGAAGTCAATATGTTAAGTCTCGCGGCGAATGGTCTACCTAAAATGCAGTTGTATACACTTTTGCAAGGGACGACTAAGAACTATATGTCTACCATCATGGTGTCCTTCCCTCTCTGAGAGTGACTATCAACTTCATATGCCCAAGCTTGTGGGACCGAACCTGTACAAGATGATATTCTGTCTCCTTTCAGTCCAAAGCTTCTCTGGTGTCACTATATTTTTGAAGGCTTGTAGGTGTGAACTTCCATAATGTGATACTCTATCTCTTTTCAACATAAGCTCTCAAAGAGTTCTGCGTACATGATATCCCACGAACTCCCCCATTGATGAGTACTCTGGAGATGTCGAAGCTGGCAACAATTGGCGTTATCACTAGAGGAAAATTTGTGTTTGGGATGCCACCCACCTTCTCGTCGTCCTTGAACCCAATAATGGTTTTTTTCTAGTATCTCCTCAAAAGCCATACCCTCTGCTAACCTCTATCAATTCGATAATGCTTCTTTTAAATGTGTCGTTGGAGGAGTTCATTGGTCGAGGGAGACCTCCTTGCGATCGAAGCTATATACTAATATTTCTCTTTTTTGTCTTCCTTTCCCTTGTCAATGTTGTCTTTCTTACCATTGATCTCAATCACATATTCTATATTATTCTTGGGAGATACAATTTCTCGGCATGGAAATCACTTCTTTTTCGGTAATTAGTTTTGTATCATGTGTTTGTTCCTTCTTCTGCGGTCTTCCTTTTGACCGTCTTCTTGAGTATACTAAACTAGTATGCGTTTCTTGATTGACTCCTTAATGGCATCTTTCAATTGGACGCATTCATCTATATTATGGTAATGACTCTCGTTAAAATGACAAAACCTTGTTCTATCAGTCATGGCCGATTCTTTTACTAAGTATGGATTCTTCACGTCGGTTTCTTTGGGGTCGGTGTTTTCACACTCATACAAAATCTTCTGCCTCAACATGTTCAATAGGGTGTAAGATGAGAATCGAGTTTGTGGCCCCCAATCTCCTTCATCACATCGCCAATTGAGGTCTCTCCCTGTTGGCCAGTTATTTTCCATATTCCCTTGTACTTAGGCATGGAAAATAAACCCGCCCCCATCCAGCCTCGCCCCGAAATTAATAGGGAAAACTTGATTTAATTGGGGGCGGGTGCGGGGAAAACTTGGTTTTTATTTACGGGTGCGAGGGTGGGGGGGATGCTAGTACTGGCCCGCACCCACCCCACATATTAAATTTAATTAATTTCCTTTAGTTTTAATAATTTTATTATTAATTTACACTTTTTAATCTTATGATATCTTGTTAATTAGAATTATCATTTATTTTTTTGAAAATAAAAATTAAATAAAAATGATCAAGTATTATGATTATTCTTAAAATAAATAATTATTTAGATAAATTGTTGATTTTTATTGTTTTCGAAAAAAATATAATATTTTTTAAAATATATAATATATGTGGGTGGGGGCGGGTCGAGTGCAGGGAAACTCGTTCCTTAATGGGGGGACGAGGGACCAATTATTATCCCCGACTGGGTTTGGAGGCGGGGGCGGGTTTGGGTCAGGGAGGTAAGGGCGGGTCTGGGCCTGTTAAAACCCGCCCCTGCCCCGTTGCCATGCTTATTTGTCCTCGTCCTTTATTTACTTCTTCAACCAGAAGTTCTTCTTCGTAATTGACATAGAGTTGGGTCATAGTAAGAGATCTCTCAAGCTCTCAACACCCATTTAGAATTAACTTTTTTGTTGGACATGTGACTTTGCGCACAGGATAGTGAGGGTGGGGGTGAATTGTGTGTTTAAGAAAATATGGTTTTGAAAAAATTTTAGAATTAAAATCAGAGTAAGAAAATAATTTTTAGAAAAGATCTCAAGATTAAGTAGCAGAAAAATAAAATTGTAGAATGTAAAGTGCAAAAATTAAAGAGTTAAGGAAAATAGGAGACACTAGAAGTTATAGAGGTTCAGTCGAAACAAACAAAAAGACATACTCTTCTCCCCAAGAAGTATCCAATAAACTTAATATCTTTTAGTAGATTAAACTCTCAAACCCCCTTTATACAAGGAAAAATGAAGTTTATGCCTAACTTTCAATCAAACAATAAACACAGGAGAGAAGTAGTGGGTCTATTTCCAAACGGCGAATCAAAGTGATTTGTCTTCTTTCCACGAGAATCTTGGAGTGGTTAGCCTTCAAACTTCAAACAAACTTTTGGAGCTTTTAACATTGAGATGATCTCTCTAAACGAAACTTGGTTTTATACCAAGCTAACCAAAAATCTGAGATTTTACCACCAGGCTGATCACAATCTGAAACAAGCTTTTGTCACGGACTGAGTTTTAACCGAAACTTGGTTTTACTGCAAGCTAACCAAAAATCTATGAGATTTTA